ATACTTGATATAATGATTAAATGATATAATGCATATTAAAATTCTTTACATACAAAAGCCAGATGTTTTTATTATCATTAATTATAGTAATTGACATTAGAATTGAGGAAAAGTTTGCTTTAGAATGTCACATGACAACTCAAGAAATATCAGAGTATCAGTGAAAAATGGAATTTGAAATTTAGAATATCTACAATTTTTTAAAAAAAGAACAGGAAGGCCGGGCACTGTGGCTCACACCTGTAATCCTAGCACTCTGGGAGGCCAAGGCGGGTAGATTGCTCCAGGTCAGGAGTTTGAAACCAGCCTGAGCAAGAGCAAGACCCCGTCTCTACTATAAATAGAAAGAAATTAATTGGCCAACTAATATATATAGAAAAAATTAGCCGGGCACGGTGGCACATGCCTATAGTCCCAGCTACTCGGGAGGCTGAGGCAGTAGGATTGCTTGAGCCTAGGAGTTTGAGGTTGCTGTGAGCTAGGCTGACGCCACGGCACTCACTCTAGCCTGGGCAACAAAGCCAGACTCTGTCTCAAAAAAAAAAAAAAAAAAAAAAGAACAGGAAGCCCAGAGACTTTTGAGCAATAAATATTAAATGAAATGAAAGGATATCAATATAAATTAAGACAGATTCAATATTGTCCCTTAGTTTTTTAGGGCTAGTCCTTTAAAAGTAACAAGAACTGCTAAATTCTGTCTCCAATAAGGATTGAAGCAAGCAAGGACCTGTACTCTTCCCATTCAGGTTTTTGTTTTTTTTGAGACAGAGTCTCAATCTGTCTCCCTGCTCACTGCAACTTTAAACTCTTGGACCCGTGATCCTCCTGCCTCAGCCTCCAGAGCAGCTGGGATTACAGGCATGTGCCACCATGCCCTGCTAAGTTTTCTATTTTTAGTAGATACAGGTCTCACTTTTGCTCAGGCTGGTCTTGAACTCCTGACTCACCAGTGATCTTCCCACCTCAGCCTCCCAGAGTGCTAGGATTACAGATGTGAGCTACCACACCCAGCCTCCCATTTGGGTTTTCAACCTGATTTCTCCTTTCTTGGGGACCTTACCTGCTAGAATACAGAGATATTCACATACCTGAATAACTGAGTCTCCTACTTAACAAGCTGAAGTGCTGAAGTATTTCTGAACAATTTCCCTCTACTACATCACAAATAGATCTAAAATTATTAGAGGACATTACTTTTTTTTTAGAGATGGGGTCTTGCTTTCTTGCCCAGGCTAGAGTGCAGTGGCACAATCATAGTTCACTGCAGCCTCAGTCTCAGCCTCAAACTCTTGGGCTCAAGCAATTCTCCTACCTCAGCCTCCTGAGCAACTGGGACTACCATGCCACCATGCCTGGCTAATATATTTTTTAATTATTATTATTATTTCAGAAATGGTGTCTCACTGTGTTGCCCAGGGTGGTCTCAAATTCCTGGGCTTAAGTGATTCTCCCACCTTAGCCTCCCAAAGTGCTGGAATTACAGGCATGAGCCACCATGCTTGGCCAACATTATTTTTTTTAAAAGTTCCTCTACTCTTTCAGATTTAAGTTGAAAAATGTTTAGTTCTTGTAATAAACAGTAAAAAACTTACTCTCCTTTCTCTGCCTTCCTTCCCCACTCCCACCTAGTAATTCTTACTTCTCTCTCCTGAGCCATCAATTTGTTTCATTCTACTAGATCATTCCCATCAGCATAAAGTAACTGTTATTTCCCTCCAATTTCCTCCCTTCTTTCTTCCCCTTTGCAACAAAACTTCAGAAACTTGTTTATATTTGCTATCTTCAATGCATTCCTTGCCATTCTCTTTAAATCAAGTATTATTTCCATTACTTCACCAACCGACCTGACCAAAGGCATACTGACCTCCACGTCACTAAATTCAAGGGGCATTTTTCAGAACTCATCTAACATTATCCATCAGCAGCATTTGGTATAGTTATCACCTACTCCTCCTTGAAATACTTAACTTCACTTGTTAGAATGACATTCATCTAGTTTCTTTCCTACTTTTTTGACTGTTCATCTTCAGTCTCTTTTATATAGATTCAAATCTATAAATGTTGGAATACCCCAACCTCTTCTCTTTTCAATCTGTATTCACTTCCAAGGTGATTTCACCCAGTCTCATGGCTTTAAATATCACCTACATGTTGGTGATTCCCAAATTTATATCTATTAAATATATACCTTTATCTTAAGTCCAAGATTATATACCTAACAAACTACTCAACTTCTCTTGGACACCTGATTGGCAACTGGTAGCCTGCTATTTTCCCCTTACCCTGTTTCAAAATAGCAGCTAGCAGCTAGAGCGATCTTATTAAAATGCAAGTCATTTCAGGTCACTCTTCTCACAACCCTCCAATAACTCTTTACCTCACTCACATTAAAAGCTGAAATCCTTACTATGACTTGTAAATTCATACATTACAGCCCACTAGCCCCAAATGAACAGCTCTCTACCTTCACTTCTAACTACTCTTCCCTCTTGCTCACTCACCCCTTTGCTTCAGCCATAACGGCCTCAGGCCACTACAAAAACCAGGCATGAGAGCAAAATGGCAGACCAAGCAGCTCCAAACACCTATCGCTCCACAGACACATCAAAAACCAAGCAGGAACTGTTAGAACCAACTTTATCAGAACTCTGGAAAACAGCCAAAGATTTACAACAACGAAGAGAATGCTGAATTTTTTTTAAAAAAGGCAATGTAAAAAAAATATTCTTAGCACTCAGGGAAATCTATATTAAAACACTAAAGTAACAGAGACTTCAATGATTACACGCAACAAGAAATACAGTCATGGCAGAAAATATAATAGTTTGAAGAAGTCACCAAATAAATGACTCCAGCCCTCAAAAATCAAGAACAGCAAATGATAGGGGAAGGGGGAAATCTTATTTCCAGAGTTACCACAATATACCATAATATCAAATGTACAGTTTTCTCAGACACACACACACACACACACTCAAAGCATACACAGAAGTTAAGAAAGTGTAGGCCATTCAAAGGGAAATAATTTGACAAATTGTCCCTGAGGAAGACAGATAGATACTGGACTTAATAGAGAAAGACTTTAAATTGAGTGTCTTAAATATGCTCAAACAGCTAAAGGAAATCATGGCCTAAGAATGGACAGTAAACCAGGAAAACAGTATATGAACAAAATGAGAATATCAATACAAAGATAGAATATCTTAAAAGTAGCCAAATATGCGCCTGTAGTCCCAGCTCCTCGGGAGGCTGAGACAGGAGGATTGCATGAGCCCAGGAGTTTGAGGTTGCTGTGAGCTAGGCTGATACCATGGCATTCTAGCCCTGGTGACAGAGCAAGACTCTGTCTCAAAAAAAAAAAAAAAAAAAAAAAAGAAGTAACCAAATAGAAATGCTGGAGCTGAAAAGTATAATAACTGAAATAAAAAATTCACTAGAGTGGTTCAATGGGAGATTTGAGCAAACAGAGGAAAGAATCAGCAAACTTGAAGACAATTAAAATTATCTAATGAGGGTCAAAAAGAAAAAAAAATAAGAGAACAGAGCCTGAAAAACATGTGAGATAACATCAAGCAGACCAAAGTAAACAGTGTGAGCATCCCATGAGGAGGGGGAAAGAGAGAAAAGAACAGAAAGAATATTTAAAGAAATAATGGTCCAATTTCCCCAAATCTGATGAAAGACATGAATCTACTATCCAAAAGCTTAAAAAACTTCAAACAGTCTATAATAAAGACATCTGTACCCAAATGTTTACGGAAGCACAATTCACTATTGCAAGGTTGTGGAAACAACCCAAGTGCCCGTCAATTCATGAATGGATTATTAAAATTTGGTATATGTATACAATGGAATATTACTCAATTATAAGAAACAACAGTGGTCTAGCACCTCTTATATTTTCCTAGATTGACCTTGAGACCATTATCCAAAGTGAGGTAGCACAAGATTAGAAGAATAGGTTCCACTTGTACTCGCCATCAAATTGGCACTGATTAGTACTATGGTGGTCAGATGGTAGAAATATTCTCCAGGGATTAGGGGGTTGGGGGGGTAAACTCACAACTAAAGGACACGGTGAGCATTGTAGGAGGGAAGGGCATGCCTCTAACCCTCCCTTGGGTGAGGCAAAGACATAAAATATAACCAAAATGTGGCCGGGTGTGGTGGCTCACACCTGTAATCCTAGCACTCTGGGAGGCCGAGGTGGGAGGATCGCTCAAGGTCAGGAGTTCGAAACTAGCCTGAGCAAGAGTGAGACCCCGTCTCTACTAACAATAGAAAGAAATTAATTGGCAAACTAAAAATATATAGAAAAAATAATTAGTCGGGCATGATGGCACATGCCTGTAGTCCCAGCTACTCGGGAAGCTGAGGCGGGATAGGAGTTTGAGGTTGCTATGAGCTAGGCTGACGCCACGGCACTCTAGTCCAGGCAACAGAGTGAGACACTGTCTCAAAAAAAAAAAAAAAAAGTAACCAAAATGTTTGTACCCTTATAATACCCTGAAATAAAAATAAAAAACTCCAAACAGGATAAAATTCGAAGGGTCTGCACTAAGCCACATTATAGTCAAATTGTTGAAAGACAATGACAAATAAAATCTTGAAAGCAGCAAAAGAAGAAAAACTTGTCAAGTACAAGGGATCCTCAATAAGACTAACGGTAAAGTTCTCACAAGAAATTATGAAAGCCAGAATACAGTGAGATAATATATTTTAAATGCTGGAAAAACAAAACAAAACAAAATTGTTAACCAAGAATTCTAAATCCAGAAAACTATTTTCTAAGAATGAAGAGGAATTAAGACACTACAAGTATCTTGAACAAAAGCTAAGGGAGTTCATTATTAGTAGAGCTGCTCTAAAAGCCAAGCTTAAGGGAGTCCTTTAGGATGAAATGAAAGGACATGACAGAGTATCTTGAAGCCATATGAAGAGTCAAAGAATGTTGGTAACAGTAGCTACATAGGTAAATATAAAAGCCAATATTATTGTACCTTTGGTTTGCAACTTTTTTTCTTATGTGATCTTTTTTGTTCTCTTTTCTTCTTTGTCTTATGGGCAACAGGTAGGATGTTCTTATATGATCTTAAAGGCAAACAAATAAATTATTCATTTTAAATCTCTGTTAACAGCTGGGCATGGTGGCTTATGCCTGTAATCCCAGCACATTGGAAGCCCAAGGCGGGAGGATTGCTCGAGGCCAAGAGTTTAAAACCAGGCTGAGCAACATAGTGAGACTTCATCTCTACCAAAGGAAAAAAAAATTAGCCAGGTAGTCCCAACTACTCCAGAGGCTGAGGCAGGAGGACTGCTTGAGCTCAGGAGTTTGAGACTGCAGTGAGCTATGATGTAGCCCAGGAAACAGAGCAAGATCCTGTCCCCAGAAAAAAAAAACAAAAAATGAAAAACATCAACCCTCCATTAATGACCATACAATATACAAAGATGTAATCTTTGACAATAATACAAAGCCTGAGGGATAGAGAGTTTAGGAGCAAAGTATGTGTATTTCATTGAAACTAAGTTGGGTATGTAAAATATGTTGTTAAAAGTTTTGTTAATTGTAATCCCCAACATAACCTTTAAGAAGATAACTAAAAAATATGCAGAAAGGGAAAGAAGGGAATTAAAATGATAAACTACAAAAAACCAACTCAATAAAAAAATCATACAGTAATGGATAAATTAAAGAATAAACAGTATATAAGACATCAAAAAGCAAACAGTAAAATGACAGCAATCAGTTTTTAATTTAAATGTAAATACATTAAATTCTTTACTTAAAAGGAAGAGATTAGCAGAATGGATAAAAATAAAACCCAAAATATGACCCATCTTATATGCTGTTTACAAAAGGCTCACTTTAAGTACAAAGAATTAAAAAATATATATTCCTGCAAATAGTAATGAAAAGAGAGCTGACGTGGCTGTATTATTATCAAACAACATATTTTAAGTCAAAAATTACAAGAAATAATGAAGAACATTATATATTGAGAAAAAGGTTCAATCCATCAAGACAACATAACAATTATGAACATATATGCACCTAAAAGACCCACAAAATTTATGAAGCAAAAATACACAGAATTGAAGGGAGAAATAGATAGCTCTACAATATAGTTGGACAATATAGTTGTAAACAGTTCTACGATAGTTGGAGACTTACATACACCACTTTCAATAATGGATATCATAACCAGACAAATCAAGAATAAAATAGAAGACTTGAACAACAGTATAAACTAATCAGACCTAACACACATATACACAACGCTCCCCTTAACAATAGCAAAATACACATTTTTCCAAAGAGCAGATGAAACATTTTCTAGGATTGGTCAAAATATTAACACAGTTTGAAATATTACAAGTATCCAAAGTATCTTTTCTGACCTCTAAATCTAAAAATCAGTAACAGAAACAAAACTAGAAATCTCACAAATATGTGGAAATTAACACACTCTTCATCAATGGGTCAAAAAAGAAACAAGAGAAATTAGAAAATACTTCTATTAGGCAAGTGAAAATGAAAACACAACACAGCAAAACTTATCAGACACAGTGAAAGCAGTGATCTGAAGGAAATTTATACCTGTAAAGTACTACATTAAGATAGATCTCAAATTAATAACCTAGCTATATACTTAAGGAAATAGAAAATGAGCAACCTACACCCAAACGTAGCTGAAGGAAAGAAATAATAAAGGTTAAAATAGAGATAAATGAAATAGAGAAAGGAAAAAACAATGAAATCTAATATTAGTTCTCTGAAAGGACCAACAAAATTAACAAAACAGACAAATCATTAGCTAGGTTGACTAACAAAAAATAGATGACTCAAATGACTAAAAACAGAAACAAAGGAGAGGGCATTAACAGACTTTAGAGACATAAAAAGGATAACAGAATACTATGAACAACAAACTCAACAAATTGGATAACATAGACAAAATGGATGAATTTCGAAAAATACTACCAAACTACTAAAACTGACTCAAAATAGAAAATCTAAACAGACCTATAACAAGTAATACTGTATATTTTAGTTTATTTTCCATTTACATATTAACAAATGTTTAAAAACTTTATAGATTTCCAAGGAAAGAATTTAAAAGAGAAAACAACCCTACCCCAAAGAAACCAGAAACATAAACTTCATCAGGAAAAAAATCTTAATACTCATTAAGGAATAAATGCAAGAAAGCTACAAAGTAGTGGGCTTCATATTTTAAAATAAAAATTTACCTGAGATTAAATTTTTAAAATTAATTATTTAAAAAAAACTTTTTCTAAAAATCATGACTTTTTCCTCTTTAGGATATGAACCATAATGTTCCACATCTAAAATATCTAAAAAAAAATTATGCTCAAGAAGGTCATTATGTTAACTATGGGAGTATCACTGTCCTCATTCTTTTATTTTTCTGGCTAATATGAACTTAACATAGAACGGTGTAAGTCCTAGCAAAAATTAGAAACTAAGAGAAAAATAATCTAATTTGTAATAGCTATCTTATAGTACATCCTTCTTAATTATTTCCAGTAGCTAATTAACAAATATTATTCCATTAGTATATAATACACAAAATCATTACAGAAGCCCACATGATGAGGCTTTAATGCCACATATTCCATGTTTATACTACTCTATTGAATTCCATCCATATCTCTACTCTATATATCCTTGACATGTTTCTGATAATCTAACTGCATTATCTATACATTTGCTATGGTTTGAACGTGTCCCCCAAAATTAATGTGTTGGCAACCTAACCTCCAAATTGGAGGTTAAGTAACAGTGTTGGGAAGTGAGGTCTAATTAGGAGGTGATTAGGTTGTGAAGGCCCTGTTCTTATGAATGGATTAATGTCATTATCACAGGAGTGAGTCAGTTACCTAGAGAATGGGCTCGTTATAAAGAGTTCAACCCCCTCTTGCTCTCTGTTGAGTGCTCTCTTGCCTTTCCACCTTCCACCAATGGATGATGCAGGAAGAAGGCCCTTGCTAGATGTGGGTCACTCAAGCTTGGACCAGAATTGTAATAAATAAATTTATTTTCTTTATATATTACCCAGTCTGTGGTAGTCTGTTCTAGCAACACGAAACAGACTAAGACAACATTCAACTGTTTAATTACAAAGTGAACAGGTTTCGCCAATCAATTAGAAAAATATCTGGCAAATACAAGTCAATCAAGACATAGGTGAGAGAACTCAGGTATGGTTTCTAACCACCATCTCTAAGCTGTGTAACCTTGAGTGGTTCTTAAAAACCTCTTAGTCTGTTTCCTTGTCTAACCATCTACATCACAGGGTTTAAAAAGGTTGCAGAGTTCAGAAAGAATATATTCAAAGTCCTAAAACACAATAAGTACTTGATAATTATATATTTCCTTCTCATTGACCTATAGAACTAGGAACACAGATCAAGATTCTTTGTTGACTTGCTGAAATATTATCAAGATCCAAGTCTGTTATATCTGATTTATTTTACTTATTTTCATTTTTAAGATATTTTAAATTATGTATACTAATCAACAGTATCACAACATGCCTAAGTTTATTTTTGGCCTTCCCAACATATATACTTGCTCTTTTATTACCTTCCTAAAGTTATCAATTCCCCTATACCCTTATTTGCTTCCCCCATAGGTAATCTATATTTCAACCACATTGAAATGTTGCCTGAATTCATCAAACCTTCTCACACCTCTATTGATACGTACAGGAAGTTCTCTAGGCCTACAACATTGCCCCTACCACCAGCCTTCCTCCATGTGACAAAGTAACATCTTTGAGATTAAACTCAGGTACCATCTCTAGGAAGCCTTTACACACACACACACACACACACACACACACATTCAAGCTGTTATGCACTAATTTTTTTTGTACTCCATACCTTACATACTATATTATCATTCTTAGTCTACTTGTCTGTTTTTCCTACTCAACAATATGAGTGCAGAGATGAGTTTCTATTCATATTTGTATCCCTAACATCTACAAGCATAATTCCTGACACATAGTGAATACTTACATGCTTTCGGGAATTCAATAATGCCATCACATAAAACAAAGCCCCTCAATCCTTCATAGTTATTTCAAAAGCTGAGATTCAAAAGTATTATTTTAAGCAATGAAATTTCATTTTTATAACTTTAAGAATGGCCACAATGAACTATATACTTAAAATGGTTTTAACCAATGGTTTTAATTAGTGGTAAACTTTGTTATAATATTTTACCACAATTTTTTAAAAAGTCCCAGTGATCCAATTTAAAGTTTAATTCCCAGGTATCCCTCCATGAAAGAATCCTACTTTCATTGATAAGTAATTCTTCAAGGCTACTGCATAGTAGTTTTAGGGGCCCTGGAAACAGACTGGCAAGGTTGGAATCCTGGCTTCATCACTTACTAGCTATGTAATCCCATGCCAGTCACTTAATCATTTTGAAGCTCAGTTTCTTAATCTGTAACATGGGCACTGTAACAGCACTGATCTCAAAAACTACTGTAAAATAATCCACATCAAGCACTGTGTAAACACTCAGTATTTTCAAACTGTGCTGCTTGGAGTACTGGGTAATCTTCAGCCACTGAACAAGAGAGGGCTTTTGGCCTTTCCTTCTTCCATTTCCTCCCAATAACACCTCACCCTGAATAGTCTGCTTTTATTTTACAGATTAAGATTTCAGGTAGAATTTTTAAAAAACAAAGAATTCCTTGGTTTAAAAGAATTGAAATCCATAAATCAAAATAGTATTCATCTAATGCTTATATTATTAACATCTCCCTCTGCAAATAGCCATTTATTAAATTCAATTATTTACTTTCTTAGCATTCGCACTTAATTTAGTCTTACTTTGCATCTCAGAGAAAGGAAAAAACTTAAAAACACAATCTCATCTCTACTTATGGTAAAAACTGATTGACAATAATTTTGGGCTGATACTGAAAATGGATTACAAGTTTCCTAGTTGCTACTGAGTCAGGTCAAGTTGTTTAGTTGAAGAAGTCTTGAATAGCAATCACACACATACAAAATGAAGTCTAAATATTTTAAAGCCAAATTAATTTTGA